AAGAGTAAAAGAATTTTTTTTTATACAATACAAAGGAACAACTGATATTCTGTGCTTTTTAGAAGACAAGAAAAGAGGTAAAAAGCAATTCGTAAACCATTTTGAGATTCATATGGATCTGAATTATCGAGTAGACAAAGTCTTTGATGATTAATCAATATATTCATGTTACCGAACAATAGTAGATATTGAGAAACAGTTTAATGTTCTTTAAATGTTTAGTGAAGCTCAGAAATAAAAACTTTAACTAGCTAAATATTTAAAATCAAAGAAATATTTTTTTGTATTATGATTTATTGTTTATTTTTAGCAATGTACTCATGAACTTGATATGAATTTTGGCCTCTTAGGTTCTTTATTTCGAACAGGTAAATTAAATTTATAATTTGATGTAATAGTTTGTTTTTTTTCTTATTTCAAAAAAGGTTCTCGTCAAACTCATTTTGCTTCTCAAGTATCAAGATTTGCTGATATATATGCTTCAACAGTCGTAAATCTTGTTTATTATCCATTTTTTTATTTTTTTCGTGCTGTTCCACAATTAGTATGTAATCTTATGACTAATTATTAATTTTATTTTAAATTTTTTTTGTCAGATGCCACATGAGTCAACTGTTGATCCTGAAGAACCAATGCACTTTAAATCATGGGGCGATGAAGAACTTCAATCAAATTCAACTGATCGTCATCGTTCAACATTATATCAAACATTTAAAAATACACCTCGTTTTGATCATTCCATATCAGCATTTGCATCAATACATACTCATCCTGATTTACCATTATATGTCACACATGATCATGATGATGATGGCGATCCAGATGATGATAATCCATCAAAAGTTGGTCACGATTTAGACTTCGATCTTCGAGCAAGAGTAACATATACACCACCGAAGAGGAATACAGAATCAACAAATAAATAAAAAGATTTTGATCTAATTCCTACTTTTTTTTGTCTTTTTAGTTTTATCTTTTTATAAAGTAGTTAGATTTTGTTGTTGTTATTGTGTTCATTAAATAATAAAAGATCAAAATGTGTAAGTGTATTCTTTCCATCTGATAATATATATTTATTTCATTCTTTTAACAATTATCTTTATTATTACTGCAAATTAAAGCGGAAGTCTCAAATTAATATTAAACCTAGAAAATAAAATGATTCGATATTTTCCAAATAATCAATAGTATTATTTATTGAGTTTGCAATCTGATCTTACACATATACAGCATATTATTTAGGATTTAAACTACTAAGAGTTTTTAATAAAAACGTAATCACAATCATTTCATAGAAAATTGAAATTATAACTGAAAAACTGATCAACAATATTAGTCTGTATTTGTCATGGTTTGTAAACACGACTTAAGAGTAGCGTGAGAGAACATCGAGGCGAGAAATACATTTTGTATCCAATGCTAGAATTGATTGATTTTTCTATTTGGAAACAAAACAATTTTTGATAAAAATAATAATTATCTACGTATACTGTTATTACCTTCGTATGACACTTCCCTGTCGATTGAAACGAAAGAAGAAAAAAGCCTGTCGAAAGAAGAATTCACGTTCATTTTCACCCCAAATCGTGCGCTGTTGTATTTCTATTTACAATACGATTTCGCTAATCTCAATCTTGTTCATTCGTTGTGCAAGTCAGAAAAAAGCTGTCAAAATCTTCAGTATCAAGAATCTTGTCAACTTTTACTCAGGACCCTGTAAACCGTCGATAAAATTGAACAAGAAAACCATATGCATCAGCCGATTTTATGGTATACGTGCAACTGTTTTCATTGTTCAATGCTCAATCGAGCATTACGATTGATGGAGGTCAATCTGGTCATAAGCATGGGATTTTTCATCCATGATCTTCATAACCACATTACAAAGCTTCATGCTCAACAGTTTCATAGAGATTCCTCTTCGAATTCATTCACTGTGTATTGTGGTCAAGTACTATTGAAGAGTGACTTTGATCGATTAGTTAAAACCCAAGATGGTCTATTATCATTTAATAACTTTTTCTTAAGTATCTGTTTGCCTTTGCCGAAAGTAATCAAAATCATTCTGATATGATAGATGTTTTCTTTGAAATAACAATCAATCTATCAACAACCATTACTGCCTTCACAAACGTACGTGACATCAGTTATTGTCAAAGAGAAGAAGAAGTTATGTTTTCTATGCATTCCTTGTTTCATATCGGACAAAAAAGACAAATAGATAGAAATAATCGTCTTTGGCAAGTCGCTTTCACCTTAACAAATGACAACGATCCACAACTTCATGCACTTACTGAGCAGATGCGTCAAGAGACATATCCTCAAGCGAATGTGTGGAATCGTTTAGGAATGCTGCTTATTAAACCCGAGCAGTTTCAGAAATCCCAAGAAGTATATGACATCTTGCTTGATCGAACAACAACTGAACGAGAAAAAGTATCTATGTATGTCCAACCAGCTACAAATGGTGAAACTGATTCAAGGTGAAAATGAAGATGGCTTTTAGCTATTGTCAACAATCCATTGACACAAAATAAGAGTATCTTTCACCGACAGATGTCAATTGGACTGCTTTTTACAACATTGTTGGTTTCTTGTATTTAACCATGGGTAACTCTTCAAATGCACTTTTATCTCACCAAAAAGCACTGAGAATCTATCAAAAAACCCTTCTTTCAAAGTATCATCATTTAGCTACTTCATACAGCTATCATCGTTTGGTGTATCACAAGATAGACGATTATTCGAACATACTTTCATATCATCAAAAAGCACTGGAAATCTATCTTGCAAGCTATTTTCTTGTTTGAATTAGATTCATTCAATAAATTCGATACTAGAAAAATAAAAAGAGTATTCTATAATCAGTTTGACAAAGACTATTAACTTGTTATCTTAAAAAATATAATTTCGTATAACTATTTTCACATAAAAACTAGTGAATGTTTTATTTGGTGGTTAATCAAAAATATGTTCAAATAATTATTTCTTGTGTATAACGATCATAAATATTTGAGTAACCTTTAAAGTTAATTGAAATTAACCTTTATGAAAAATAAAGTTAGTTAAAAATGACATTGTAAATTCGCTAGCTACGTTAATGCAGTCGTTCTTCTTTTTCAATGGAATGAGATTTTGTAATCGAAATCATGGTATCTGTTTTTTGGTCTTTAATATGACGTTTCATTTTATTACAGGTAGCCATTCAAAAAGAAAAGTTTTTGTAGACTTTGTTTTTTTTCAAACTTGAAAATTATTTAAATGAAGATAACCACCAATTTCTTTGCTTATTGGTAGGACAGCTGTGAATACAGTTGATGATAAATAATGATTTAGAAAGAGAATCAAGCGATCTTATGCTTATATCTATCAATAGAATTCTCTTCATGATAAATTTTGCAAATGGCTATTTCACAGTTTCTTTCTGACTTCGACCATTTGATAATGTACAAGTAACGTTCATCGACATTGAATATCGGTTCACTTGGTCCTAGACTGACGGAATGATGACAAAGATGTCCTTATATTTTTAAATCAAAATGAATTCCGTATAATAATGTGTTTAGGAGAAATTATTAATATTTGTAACATTTTCTGTATTACACACTATAGATATATTCAAATAGTTCACAACAAATATTGAAAGATGCTAATGTATATGATAAAGTTTATGTTTTAGTTAATTATAACGACTAAAATGGTGATTCATGTCAAAGTTATGGCCATTTCTAATACGGACATGACAAATTGTGACACAGACATGCTCATTTGAGCCACAAGAATGGTCAACTGTGCCATAGAAATCGTTGATTGTGCCGTGGAAAGGCTGAATTGAGCCATAGAAACCGTCATCTATATAATGAAAATGATCAATTGTGTCAAATAAATGGTCGCCTGTACCACCAAAGTGGTACTTTTGTACCATGAAAATGGTCACTTGTACCATGACTATGGTACTTTGTACCACAAAAATGGTCACTTGTACCATCACTATGGTACTTTGTACCAAAAAATAGTCATTTGTACCAAGTGTTGCAGACAGACAGACACAGGTGAATTTCCGTTTCTAGACCCTAGCCTTTCAGTTTAGGAAATAATTAAGCTTGGCTACTAGCTGTCAAACTTCCTGAAATAAAAACTTGATTTTCTCTCTCTTGATAGCTTTTAGTATGTTCTAAGTAAATCGAAACCTGACGTCACAACAGTAGTGTCTTTAGTACTGAGTATAACTGTATTTAATAAAAAAAGGTTCGAGAACTCCAGATTGATTACAAAATTATATTAAACTACATTATTATGAGTAGTTATTTAGTATTATTCAAGTTTTCTTTATTTGTCAAAGTGAACCTAAATTAGAAGTAAGTTAGCAGTAACAGTTATGCTACATCTTCCTTTTTTTTTAAATTATTATTCTTGGAACAAAACATCCAAACGCATACCAACTCATAACTGAACACTTCTATTGTCAGAACGCAATCAGAAATATTTTCATTTCCTCTTTCGAACTTGATTAATATCTAAGGAAATATCATGTATCGATCAGAAATAGAATCTGTGTAAAAGTCAACACTTAAAATTTACACGTCAAGTAAATATTTACTTGAAAATATAAATTAATAAACTTGATTAACTCCTAAGAGATAAATCAATGTAAATCTCTACAGAATTAGATTTTGTATAGGAAAAAAAAAATCTACATCAGATTTTTTAATCAGTAGCGTCAATATTTTTTTATTATCTTTTTCTGAATATAGACAAAGCAATTAGATTTTTGACTTTATAGACATTCCATGTCACACGCAAGAAGCACAAAAAAAAACAGAAAAGAAAGAAATGTTAAGCTTGCACATCCTTTTTTTTTTATCAAATTGCATGCATCATATCGAATGAAATCCCAATTATGAACAGCATACATTGACAAACAAGTTAGTGCGTGACACTTTTATTAAAGGTTGGTTATATTGCAATTGATTTCTAATATTGTTCCTTGCCCTAAAATCATGATCGATTTTTTTAAACGACAATTTCGACATCGAAATTCTTATGAACAATTTTATGATGATATTAATAGAAATTATAAAAGCAAATTTGATCTTATACGTTTAAGTGCTGTTGTATGTGGTATTGAATTTTGTTATGCGGCCGAAACAGCTTTTGTTTCACCTATTTTACTTCAAATGGGTTTACCAGTTATGTTTATGACTTGGGCATGGTGTTTACCACCATTAATTGGTTTCTTTCTTGTACCAGCACTTGGTTCACTTAGTGATAAATGTCATACACGATTTGGACGACGACGTCCATTTATATTTCTTTATTCAATTGGTATTTTGATTGGTCTTTCATTAGTTGCAAACGGTAAAAATGAAAAGAAGGAATTTAAAAAAACAAAAAAAAAAATTTTCTTTTTAGGTCGTGTTATGGGACAATGGTTTGGTGATATAAAAAATGAATTTATTAATAATACTCAATTAGTCAATGAAACTAATATAAAAAATCAAAAACATTTGAATCCATTATTATCACATAAATATGGTACAACATTAACTTTACTTGGTGTTATTTTACTTGATCTTGATTGTGATGCGTGTCAAAGTCCAAGTCGAGCTTATTTACTTGATGTTACGGATCCTAGTCAACATTCATCAGGTCTTACAACATTTACATTCATGGCTGGTTTTGGTGGTTGTTTAGGATATTTTCTTGGTGGAATTCCGTGGGAACATACATTTTTAAAGAATGTATTTGGTGATCATATTCATGTTCTATTTACATTAGTTTGGATTATTTATGTCATTTGTATGATTTCGACATTAACAGCATCAAAAGAACCAAGTGATGTTACTATTGCAATGCCAAATCTTACTCGATCAACATCATGTCAATTTATTGTTTCTTCAACACATATTTATGATGATGATAATGATCAAGATCCATATGAATCATCATCAAGAAATAATACAAAAGTATCATATTTTGATTATATACGATCGATTATTTATATGCCATCATCATTGAGATGGCTCTGTTTAACAAATTTCTTTTGTTGGATGGCATTAGTTTCATATTCACTTTTTTTTACGGATTTTGTTGGGCAAGCTGTTTTTGGTAATCATTAAATAATTAGAATCGAAATTAAATGTTTTATCTTTTCATTTAGGTGGAAATCCAAAACTTGATTATAATCATCCATTACGTTTATTATATAATGATGGTGTTCGATTTGGTTCATGGGGTATGTCAGTTTATTCAATATCATGTTCTATTTATTCATATAATATTCAATCTCTTAATAATTATTTTGGTATGTTTATAATTTATTTAAATCTAATTTAAATCACATTTTTCTTAAAGGTATTAAACGAGTTTATATTGGATCTCAAGTAATCTATGCAATAGGAATGCTATTCATGGGATATTTAAGACATCGTATTGGTGTTATTGTTTTATCAGCTGTAGCTGGTATACTCTATTCAACATTATTTACTATTCCATATTTACTTATTTCACAATATTATACATCAAATACGGTATGTTTTGTAGTTTTTGTTTTTATCTTTTTTGAAAATCCATTATTTATTGTTTTACAAAAAAATTAGTTCGATCAATCGCATGGATTCAATAGCAATGGACAAGTTCGTGGTATTGGTACAGATATTGCTGTTGTGAGTAGTATGGTCTTTTTGGCACAATTATGTTTATCATCAACAATGGGAACATTAGTTCATTTAGCTGGTTCGACAGTTATTGTAACAGTTGTCGCTAGTTTTCTTAGTATTTGTGGTGCCATATCGGCAACACAAGTTTTATATATAACATAGAGAATAAACAGAAATAATAAAATAAAAACTTGTATGGTCCAATATTCATTCTATGGAATATTCTCATATTTATTAGTGAGAATAAAATGAAAATTTTTGAAAAATAAATTCTATTATAAGAAAGATAAAGTGCAAACCAAATGATCTACCATCAAAGCTGCGAAGTACCATAAAAGATTAAACGAAAAATAAATACGAAAAGTCTCTTGAATAAAGCAAAATATTACCAATCGAATTTCTGCTTCTATGAAACTGACATCCTAACAAACTGATCATATTGTGGAAACTACTGTAGTAGTAGATCAAAAAAAAAAAAAGATACTCAACGAAATTCATCTTGTTGGTCTCAATGTATTAACATCACGTGTTTAGACTAATGGACAAATTTTTCAAAATTAAATGGAATTGATGTCGAACTCTCGAGGAAATATTTATAATTGATCAATCACTTTCTTACCAAAAGCTAGTAAATTCTACTGATTTCGAATATGACCATAAGAAACTCTCTTAGGGCTCCATGGCTTGGTTTTCTAGACTAACAAATCTTTCGTCAAACATTTGTCTCTAATTTGTCAAGATAATCGAGCATATCGAATTTCTTACAAAACAGAAACTTTGTCTGTTTCAAATTATTTGTTTCTGCAAAAAATACAGCTCTTTTAACTGATACAACAGATTTCATAGCATCACTTCAATGTGAAAATCTTCAAGATGATTTTATTCTACTTAAAATTCACTTTTGAGAAACAGGAATGATCACTGTCTTATAGACAAATCGATATGCTCTATAATGTGAGTAGATTCAAGACGGTTTGGCGAAAAGATTGTTAGTCTAGAAAGCTAGTATAGAAATACCTAAGAGAATTCTTCTGGTCATATTTAGAATCAGTATGAGGAATAACCTGAAATTCAATAACCTCTGGTAAGAAAGCGATTGATCATTTGAAAACATTCTCTCATAAGCATAACTCGAATTGACTCTCTAGGAATACATGAGACTGCATTTTCTGTAAGATACTTATTAATACTCAGAACCAATAACAATAAACAAAATGATATCAAAGAAAATTCACTAAAATATCTTTCGTTTTGGAAATACATGAAAATAGTAGACTTTCGTTTTTCAGTTCTCTAAGATCATTTTGAAGATTATCCAGAATCTAGAAATGACTGTAAAACGAACAGAGCCAGCCATCGGGCACGATCATCATAATACCATAGGATAATGATTACAATCGACAAAGCTGCCAAAAACGTTGCTCTGTCTATTCATACATTTGATGGCTATAAGTTGCTGTAGATTGAGGATTGGCAAACACAGCATTAGGGTCGTATTCTATCCTAACAACGATTTGAAAATCAAGTATTTAATCGCATACAAAATACTAGAATATAGTTGTAATACTGTGTCTATCAAATGGCGGAAAAAACCATTTAACAGCCATATTTATTCGATATATCGCTACTTCCAAGATGCTACCATTTTCCGAAGTCCGGCAAAACTTTAATGAACGTTCAATAAAATAATTCACAATCTTCTGTAAATCACTTGACCTATTAAAGATGTATTTATATTTCTTGTTCGTTCGATATCTTGTAGATATTTACATATTTATATCTATCATAAGCAATTGCGATTATACTGAAATATTTTTCAATCATATGTATACACCAACATCATGCAACTTTCATTTTAATCAAATCATCTTGCAATGTTATTACTCTTAATTAAACTTATGTTATTTTATAGTATACAAGTTTTAGTGAACATGAACAAGAAAAAAAAACAATGCATGGCTACGCACACACATATACACTTGAAGAATGAAAGTGAATACGAACAAAACATTTGAAGTCTTTTTTGTTTAAATACATATAAGTAGAATTTTTTTATTTATTTATTGCGTTTCATAAACAATTCGATCATTAGTTGTTGTTTTTGTATTTATATTCGTATTATTATTAGTAGTAAGATTTTGACGACGTCTCATTGATTTAATTGCTTTTTCACGTAAAAGACGTTCACGTAAATCAATTTCATTTTCATCTTCACTGTGATTATTATTTTGATATTCTTCATTATCATTGATTTTTGTTGAAATTGATACACGTGCTGAAATTGAATCAGTACCATCAGTACGAGACTCTTCTAATACAACCTAAAAGAAAAAGAAAACTAAGTTTATAAGATAAATAGAAAAATTCGATTATTTACAATTCGTTCAGTTCGATTTGGTTTTATCGGTGTAGACGGTTGACGAACTAATTCTTGTTGTGATTTCTATATTAATAAATAGATAAAAAATATCATCTTAAAAATAAATTACTAACATGATTATCATCAGATAATTTTGGTGGTGGTGTTTGTACTTTTATTTGAGATTCAAGTCGAGGTCTTTTTGGTGATGGTGATTGTGGAATTTCATTATTTGTTGATGATGATTGATATGAATTCGAATATGTCTTTTCTTTATCTTCATTTTTATCTGTTTTCTTTTTCGATGATTCATTTCGATGTGTCTTTTTTGTTATTGATTTGTCTAGGTGATCTAAATTGATGGGTTTCCATTTGCAATAGAGCTCAAGGCTAGAAACAAAATATAAAGTAACGCTCAAAAGTCCAATATATACATATTGGCCAATTTCTGCTTATTTTGTTTTCTTTCTATCGGTTTGTTTCTAATTTAAAATAGATATGATTGAATTGACTTACCCCGATTGGATTTTCGTTTATTATCATTACTTCTATGATGTTTTGTTCGTTTTTTTGATGAAGATTTACTATACAAAAAACAATAGATTTATCATGTGCAAATATTTTTGTTGTTATCGAATAAATAAGAAAAAAACTATGAGTGCAACCCTTGCAGGATTAAATACGTAGAACATCATGTAACGATTGCTACGAATCACAGGAAGATTGTGTTACTTCATCTATTTTGTCATCACACAGACATTTCAAGGATGCTGTTCATATTGCTTTAACTCTCGTTATCTGAATCGTTGTGATTTGTGGCAACCAGTGGAAATACGAGCTGCTTTCGGCTGCAATACTCAGAAAATGATATGAACCAGAACGCAGGATTCTGGTGGCTGGATTTTCCTAGTTCCATTCGTAAGCAAACAGCGTCGGTCACCAGATATTTGCTTCCAAATTCTTATCTTTTTTCTCGAAATTTACAGTCAGAAACAGCATCTTTCTAGCGAAAACCTGCCTGGATCATTGATCTAGGAAATGGGGCTCAAACTTTTATCATAGTACTTCAACGATCCTTTTAGATCATGGTTTGCAAAACGAAAAACATGAGCTGTAGAATGAATAGTGACTTACCTATTATGAGTACTATGTTTTCTTGATTTATGATCATCTTTCTTTTTGTCGGGCTTTCGACTACGGTTCGGTGAAGTTGATCGTGATCGACTTGATGAACCGGTTTTGGCCAATTGTGGTTCTATAAATAGAGAAAAATATCTATTCATTGAATTATTGAAAAGCTTTTATTTGTTTATATGAAGAAAATCAATTGTCTAAAGAAATGATGATTTTATAATTTTTGCAATCAAAAATAAGAATAATCAACAAGTTTTTATTTTTTTTTATCTCTAAGGCTAATTTTGATTTTCTACAGTAGCTTCTAACATAATTCTACCAAGTTTTTCTGCTACCATAAATAGTAATGTATGTATAGAACTCAATTCCGAACAAGATAAATATGATTGCTTGTTTTCCATAATTAGAGTTCCTGAAACTCTGAAATAAAATTCTGTTTGAATTGTCCAAAATGATGTAGCAAACCATTCTCTACAGAATGAAACTTTTCCCAGCTTTGTACGACATTTTTTGATCGAGATACACCAATTTTATGGAAGACACAAAATTTAATCTTTGTTGCTTCTATCATTCCAGATAATTGAAACAGAACTATATATTTCCCAATCTTAGGAACTAGGTTTCGTTTTTTTTTAGAAATCCTATTTCGAAAAAATTATAAATCACTCTTACCTTGTTGGAAATAAAATTCTCTATAGAAGTTACTATTTACGGCGATGAAGAGAAAAGCTGGTGAAACAATTTTGGAAACTATTGTATTTAGAGCGCATGAGAAATGTATTCATAAACTTACTTTTCTTTTGTTGTTTATTTTTCTCTGATTCAGATATGGACGATAATGACAATGTTGCGCTTGAAACGGATGAATTGGAAATTGAACGTGAAAGTGACGAAGAATTAATAGATGATGATCGAGTTCGTTTCGATTGTTTTTTAGTTTTTTTCGTTTCTCTAAATGGTGATTCTTTTGGTTTAGATTTTTCTATAGTAGGCATCGATTTTGAAGAAGTTTTTATTGATTGTTTTGAACGTGGAGGAGAAGGTGTAGGAGATTTTCGTTTAGTTTTAGACACGGGTTGTTTTTTAATTTGATCTTCATTTGTTAAATTATTATTTCCAAATGTTTTTTGTCGTTTTATTTCTTGGGACTCATTTGAGACATTATCAGTTTTTTTTCGTGATGATTTATCGTGTCTTTGATGTGAATGACTGTCATTTGGACTTGATGATGATGAACAAGTTTTAGTTTTTGGTTTAATTTTTTCTGATTTTTTTGTTGTTGGATATGATGTATTATGATGTTCGGATGATGATGATGGAGATCGTTGTTGACGTTTTTCATTTTTTCGTGATGATTTTATTGGACTTCGACTATGTAGAGGAGATTTTGATGGTGAACGATGACGTTCATGTCGATTGGATGACGTTTTAAGATTTTGTTTTGTTTTCTCATGATGACGATGATGATTATTATCTTCATTTTCACTATTTTCCGAAACGAATCGATTTGATTTTTTATCGTTATGTCTAAATAAAAAAAAATCATTGAAAAATATGTAAAACGAAAAATAAGAATTAACTATTTAAACTAACCGTGTTCTTAAATCTGGACTACGTGAATTTCGTATTCGACGATTTTTGGGTGATGAACGTCGTCGATCACGATCCCGACGATCATCATTATAATATGATCGTGATTTATATTCAGCAGCAGCATCATTCTCATTACGTGATTTATTACTTGAGGATGCCATTGGATTACGTCCATTTATTTTATGATCTAACTTATCAACATCAGGTTTTATATCTTGTCGATGACTATCTTCTTCACGTTTGCGAATTTCACGTAATCGATTATCATCTTCCTAGATAATTTCGTTAAAGTGAAATCATTCTTACAATCAAAACATATTATTCGTAGGATGTGCAGTCTCAGTTTACTGACCATCGACTAAAGATACGTGGGACTAAAACGAAGGCCAAAAAACCTTTGTGCTATATATCTCTGCTATAAACTCATTGTGAAGAGTGCAAGCTGATTAGAGCTTGCTGAGTTCAAAATTATCGGTCTCGATCGAACTGTACTTTGACATTTTCGTTGAAATTTTCTATTCGAAATTGTGTAGTCAGTCAGATGATATGAGATATTTTTTCTGACACTCTGTATATGTACTATGTGTCTGCGGTCCTAAAAACAGGTGATCAACCTTGCGGAAGACAGAATCTGGATAAGATAATGATGACAATCTGTAATAAAGTTTGATCAAAGTTTAAGTGAAGTTGAGAAGTCTAAAACTCTAATCGTTCTTTCGAAAATTTCTGATACAGATTCATATTCCTTGACCCCGCCAATCCTTGATAAACTCGCAAATTTTCCATTACTCAATAACTGTAACTTTTCTACCATAATAAAACATCAATCATTAAAAGATTTTTATTTCTCTCATGAAAACCTTATCGAATAAAAAAAGTTGATATTTCAAATTTTCAAATAAATTATACCTGTCGTTTTAATAATTCTCTCTTTTTCATTTCAATTAATTCTGCTGGTATGCCATCCGATGATGATTGTGCACTAGTTAAAAGTTTCCAAAGTTCACCAATAAATAATCGAGCTTTACTTCCACCAAGAAAACCGGTTAAATTAATTTGCATCATTTTTGGATCAGGATTCTTCAAGATTAAAAAAAGAAATCATTTAAAATTTATTTGCTTTGTTTTTTCAAACCTTTTCTTCTAATTGATTGAAAACAAATTCAATAACAACATCATCTTCAATACCTAATAATTCTTGTAAACGTGTTGTAATCCATGATTTCAATACATCTAAATTAACTTTTAACATATCGATCTAGATGTTAAAAAGAAACAAAAGAATAAATTTATTTTAAATTAAATCATTTTGTTTACTTTAACATCAATATTATCAGGAAATTTCATTTGTTTAAGTAATTTTTTTTGTTTATTTGCAAATCGACTATCTTGTTCAGCCGAAGTACCCTAAAATATACTTAAATACTTATTTTCCTATTTAATTATTTCATAATATTTACTTTGAAGAACCCGGCATCAGTCATAATTACAAATTATCTTCAACAAAATCAAATGAAAATTCTTTTTTTTTCCTCTATTGGCTATTAAAGAATGGAAAAACAAATCGCCTAAATTAGTTGTTCAGTTCGAAGAGAAAAGAGAAACAAACAACGAACAGAATAACAGAAAAAAAAAAGAACAATCACAGGTTGACTAATACAAAACCAACCGGTAGATTTGAAACTGTTTTTTTTTCGGTACACAAGACAAAAAAACGAACTAAGAACATAGCTGGTTTGATCTGGTAAGCAGAGAATCATAATATTAACCAATAAGCAAACCAATACCAAAACGATATGCAGCTTTTGCATGATTTAATGAACTGCTTAACATAAACGTAAATGGTAATGGTGCAAGACGTTTTTCAATTACAGCGGTGACAAGACCATTTGTATCGACCATACCTACAATAAGAATATTGTATTTTATTTAAAATCTTCTGATATGCTGATTTCGTCTCGATATTCATAATAGCATGATTTTAATAATGACTGAAACAAATATTGAAAGCCTACTGAAACTTAGAGCCTCTCGGGTTGATTCTGAACTGCTGTCTTGCAACTAGATCGGGTATTCAGCAATTAAAGCATAGATTCGTGTATGAAATCATATCCAAACTCAGCGTAGAAATCAATGGAATCTCGACATTTTAATGGAATTTAAGATAATCTCTCTTTCATAGAAAATAAAAGTTTGGAAACTGTATTACGATAGTGAAAGTATCTGCTGAAATTTCTCTGCTAACTAAGCTCGAAAATTATGGATCCGATGGACTCCACTGGACTTTATCATGCATTATTCTATCGAAATGAGTAAGATTCATTAATCCATTTGCTTAGAAAAAAAATTTAATCATAACATGAAAAAACTATTTTTTATAACGTTGTAGTATGAAAGAGAGATCATCAGAATATTACCCATAAATCCATATCGATTAGACGAAAATTTGATTTGCAATTACACAGTTTTTATTTTCATTTGAATATGTTATTTCTAAAGTCGTATGAGATTCATGCAGACTCTAGCCAGTTTCATTACATTATTATAAATACACAATATTGAATGAAATCGCTCATTTTATCGATATGCTCTAGTGAAGACTACTAGGCTATGTTAATAATATCTATCAGTTACGCTCAGCTATTATTTATATGAATAGACCATCTCGAAGTATACGTGAATGTTTATAGACTACCTGGGGTTCGTTCGAATTTTCAGTAGATACATATTATAGACATTTATTACAGTACATTGATAACATTAGTCAATCCTATACATTTGTCCTTCTTATGTAGAATAATTCAAAGTATACTTATATAATGATGTATGACTTTAAACGAGTTGACAACAAAGAATGACAAGACCATGAAAAAAAAATGACTAGATAAATGTAATTCAAGCTCACTGATTTTTTTGTTTATTCTTCTTATCATCAAGTCTTCACAAGCGTATAAAAAATAATACCAACTTCATTTATTATATTTATTTTATCAGTTAAGATCCAGATGAATTCTAAGTAGTAGTCCTAGGAATTATCATGTTAGGGTTAATTTACATAAGATAGACTTATATAGCAAGTACTATTCTTGCTATGGCTTTTTCATTTTGTCTGTCTACATACATCCCTTCAGATTTCAATTTAAGAATAAGTTACAGTTATGTGACAAGATTCGTAAGTCATGAGTGTTTTGTAGAACACATTGTAAAATTCTTTCTCCTTTCGTAGGTACGTGAGTTCATTTCTAGAAAATGTTCATTGATAGAATTTTAATTTGTAGTTAACGTTCTTTTTGTTTTTGTCTTAAAATAATAAGTTGTTTCTCTTACCTCGAAATGTTGTATTAGCTTTTGCTAAATCATATTGATATGAAAACGTAGCTGAAGTTTCTTTAGCTGCAAGCGATGTCTCAAATTCAACTCCTAACTGTAATGGGCTATTTGATTTTTGATGAAAATAACCAAGATTAAAAACACCTGCTGGACTTATTTTAGCAGCAGTAAACCAATCAAGACCTTAAATTCAAAAAATATAAAAGTTTTGCTTTTTTTAAAATAGAATTCTTTGTTTGTTTGTTTTTTCTTACCTCGATATCTGGTAATAAAACTAGTTATACCAAAATGTTTACCAGGTATCATAGGACTTGCTTGATAAAGAAATTCAGCACCAATATCTAAATTTTTCGTTACACGTGTTAAATGTTGTAAAACAGCGATGCCTAAAAATAAATACTCTTAAAAAATCTTATTTGTTCTGTTTTTTTTTAAATATTTTACCAGAGTTGCTCATTAAATCAATATTTGCTAGTGTTAAAGTCGTTGTTGTAAATTGTGTACGATAATCCATAGATAATTGATAACCAGCCATTTTATATGATTGTACCTTGAAAAAAACAAAAACAAAAAAAAGTTCAAATCATTGCATATTCTATATATATTTTTCTACTTGTGCTAATAAACGTGTTCGAAATTTGTCATTCCATTGATGAATCATTTGAGCATTAGCATTTCCATTCGGATCCACATCACCCAATATAACAGGAAATACCTATGAAAATATTTTTTTTGTATCATACAAAAGCAAAAATAATAAGAATTTTTTTTTTCTTCGTTTTACTTCAGATTGTGAATAGAGTTGTGTACCAAGATAATTAGCTCCAAATTTGTATCCACTATTTGAACCATTACTTAAAGTCATTGAATGACTAACTTGAAAATGACTGCTAAGCATTTTAGTAACAGATAATTTTGCACCTTCAAATGTTGGTGGCATTAAATCTAATATGCAAAAATATAAATAAATATGAAAAACATACGAAAAAAATTTATTTTTACCCTTGATTTTTTTAAATACATCATCAAATATGCCCGGATTACGTGAAAAATCAGTTGTTATATTCATCCATCGTGTATTAGGAAATGTCGGTTGAGATAATTGTTGTTCATCTATTTTAGAAGATTTATTTGTATCATTTGATGTTGAATCTCCTGAGACATTTGCCATGTTGAACTTGAAAAAGATTCAATTGTTGATTACCAATCTACGAAATAGCCAAGTAAAAGAATTCTTTGCTTTTTCTTATATTCTGTTCGATGATATTAACCAATTGAATAAATCTATATAAAAATAAAAGTAAAGAAAAAAACAATTTCCTTTATTAGAGAAATTTTAATAATAATTTTGGAGAAAAAATAAAATCAGAAAACAAAAATAATAGAAGATTTTATAATATATAGATATCGCTAATAGAAATTTATTTTTATGACTCATTATCAGTTTTATTTATTGATGGTTTGATATCATCGAATAAAAACTACAAACATATTTTGATTTGAGAAGAATATTAACGAAATTTTTTTGTGTTGTCTTCACGGAAAAATTTCAAATTTAAAGAAGATTTCTGAAAGTTTTCCTATTCGATAGAACAATTCATAGATAAAGTTTTTGAATGTACTTTTCTTTTTTTACGAAAACGAAAATTAAAACAAATTTTCCGCGTATTAATTTCAAGCGCGTGATGTTCTCTCAAGGTATGAAATTCAATCACGTGGTGTCTTCCTTGTCTCCAAATGCTGAGTTAATATAACGTGTTCCTTTTTTATGCTGAGAAATGGAAATTTCGCATAAAATTCATTTGTTTTCTTCTTAACTATCGAAGATATTTGTTACAAGTACAGTATTAGAATAAAGTTGATAGAAGCCGAAGATTTGTTATATACGTTTGCTTTTTTATAAAATTATACTAGTGCAAAAAAAATAAGTTCTTTTCGCTGTTTTACTTTCGATCATGTGACATATAATAATAACCGAATATTTTTTTTGCATTAGATAGATTTAAAACTGAATAATAGATTGAAAATTTTTATAACATCGACTTTTTTCAAAGTTGACCATTCCTTTTTTTATATGAATTCTTTTATTCATTATATAATGAAATTACTTTAAGATAATTATTTTTTGATAATTAGTTTATTATTTCAATATGTCAACACAAAAATTTGTTAATAAAGGTATGATACAATTTTAAATGCAATTTATTAATAAAAAAATTTCTTTTTCAGCTACTTTAGAATTTGGTCATCATATATTCGGTGAACAATTTCGTCGTGAACCAATCATACTTACAGAACAATATCGAAAATTTTAATATTATCAAACAAATCATAATAAATTAGGTTTAATGGAACTTGATCGTTTATAGGGTGATAATCTAGCTGTTAAAGAAGCCATATATCGTTTACGTATAAGTGAACCTAAAGTATGGGATGAACGTTCATTTCGTATATCACGTGCAATTAATTTTGATATAAAACGAATGTTTTTACCAAAAGATGAATGGTTACAATATGAAAATGATGTACCTTATTTACAATCATATCTTACTGAAATTGAACGTGAACAAAATGAAGAATGACATTGGAAGAAAGTTTCCGGTTAGAAATAAATAAAAGAAAAGAAAAAAAACAAATTCTTTTGCTTTCGTTAATACGTACATATTTTGTAGAATGTTATTAGTCAAGGAAAATAAACATATAGGAATATATTTTTTTTGCTTTTAATTTAAGATTTAAAAAAACCCTAAAAATAAAATAATGTCAAATCAAATTGACGATAAAGATGATGATTTGTCAACTAATGTTGTTGAACCTGATGAAAATGAATGGAAACGTTTGATAGATGAGTACGTTGAGTGATGTGTGTTATTTTTGTATTATTTATTTTGATATTTTAGTATGAAATATGTTCGTGCTTTGGAATATGTTCTTCAAAATGCACCAGTTCGTGCTAAAGATCCAGACAAAAAAGTATGTTTCTTTTCGAATGTATACCTATGTGAAAACGAGCATTTTAACTTTCGTCAGAAAAATCGAAGCTGAAATAGCCTGAAGTTTGATCGTTCATAAACGACATGATTTTTTCATTTGGCACTTGGTTCTGTGTCAAAATATTGGATGATTTCTAGTACGATCGCTTTGTTTCAGAAAAACCGAGGAATCTATTTCCCTGTTTATGTTTTCCTGATCGAGCATCTTAGAATTCTTGAAGCAATTTCATTATAGAGAATTAATATCTTCTTTTGTTTGAAAGAGCATGCGAAGCTGCAGAGTACAAGTGGCTTATTATCATATCGAAAAAGCGCTTCTACAGATGGATGACCATTTTTCGGGGTATCAAATTTCTCATCCGTTTTCTCTCCATAAGACAAGAGCACAGCTGTATGACATGTCCTTTCAACTAGGAAATTTAAATCTATAGAATGAGGCCTAAAGTTCGTCGAGTCCGATTCTGATAAGCTCTAGTCGTTTGAGAAATATGTAGAATTCAGTAGTTACCGAATACAAAAGATAGGAAAAAAATATCTAGTATCTACAAGGCGCTTACTCAGTTCCGACGAAAAAATTTCATTGAGAATATCAACGTATGATTCGATTAGGTCCAGATCGAGTTTTAATTTTGAGCCTTCCTGAGCCAAAAGCTTAAATAAATATAGGCTTGGAAAAATGGCGTTAGATAAAGTTATGATATTTACTTCATTATTGTAAGCTTCCAGTCATCCAGGTCTATCTCTCTTGTTTGATCAACATTTTTTAATACGTGTCAAATTACCCATAGTGATTATTATATTTCTTCAAAATGATTTATTCGTCACTTATCAAAAACTCTGACAAACGGTAAATTGAATAAACCGATATTGTTCTAAAATTTTAGCAAAACACTAGGCTTGAGATAAATGTACGTAGCTTTTTAAAAGTATTCAACAAATGTTTATAAAGCAAAAAGAATAGGCCTTGATGACTGAAAACTTACAATAATGAAGCAAAATTTGAGATATTGTTTTTACAACTCGAGAATGAACTTTATAGTCATGACTAACAACTTAAAAGTGTATTCTACCATCAGTACAAAAAATCACTTCATCAAATAGAACCATAATCGAGATATACAATTTTCTTAGTGGTCAATGACTTTCCAAACATTCTGTATGTGGCAAAGATGCATGTGACTTCATGTTGTAGTCGAGATTTTAGCTTGAAGTGCTGTCCAGTACACGTAGCACTTCAAGCTCCAACGACTAGTACATGTCACAAGTAAAACTGCACTCTGTGCTGATCAGAGCGTATCTTACTAACACTTGTGACAAAGTATTGAACGAAAAATCCATCATTCAAACTTTTATGGCATTGCTAATTTCTCTTAAATTTTCATTGATACATTAAAATCTAAAATTCCATTAAGCAATGAAATATTAACTTAAAAAGTTTTTGTTGAAAGACAAATTCATATTTCATATAAGGAACTGTCTACAGGATGTATTCGAATACAAATCATTTGATGTAGACTAGAAAAAAGACGAAAATCGTATTTTTGTTGTAGAAAAAAGCAGCCACTATGGCTTTATCAACAATGATGAAAATTAAACCAAATGAAATAGCGGGTGCTGTTAATTCAATTCCAGTACCATTACGTGATACATTAATGAAATATGTTTATAAAGGTTTTGAAAGTCCAAAAGATTATTCAAGTAGTGCTTTATTAACATGGCATGAAAAGGTTTTCAATTCGAATGAAGAAAAGCTTGCTTTTTTTAAAATTTTTTCTATTTATAGGTTCTTGCAGTTACTGGACTTGGATCAATTGTACGTGTTCTAACTGATCGACGAACTGTGTAGACTGTTCAAAGCAATGATTAATGAATGACATTCCAACAGTGATGAAATTCGTTTTTGTATCTTTCGCCTTCTAGTTCGTATGCAATATTGCATAACAACTAAATCTTTTTCTTTCTACTATTTATGAAAAAAAGAAATTTTTACTCTGCGTGCCTTTTATTAAACTTTTTCTTTTCTCTTGTTTTCGTGAACAAACTATTGCTATCTATAGGTATAATTGACGATTATTATTATGTGTATGCAACACGTTTTTTTTTTTACAGAAAATATATAAGTTTATCATTGATTTCTAGATGATTTAATACTAGACAATGGTTTGATAAATGCATTTATTCAACATACAAGTTTATCTTTCATTATCTATTTTGTACGTGTTGCTATGAAAATAATTTTTGATAATTTCATACCAAATGATATAATACTTATGAATATAAGTAACATGGATTCTGTTAATGTTTTTAATACGATCAGATAGGCATGATGTTAATTTATTTGGATATGAAAATTGTAGTTAGATTTAATATATATATAGATCTTATTGATTTTTTCGGTTATATTCATACTAATTTCATTTCAGATGTCCTCAACAGACAGTAACAAAGATGATCTTATCGAAAATGTTTCTACCAATACAATTGAAGATGAAGAATATCCTAAAAATGTATATATTATGAAAAGTAATAATCAATTACGAGAACTTCATACACTTTTACGCGATCGAACAACATGCCGAAGTGATTTTAAATTCTATGCTGATCGTCTTATACGTTTAACTGTTGAAGCTGCACTTGATCAATTACCATACATACCATGTGAGATAATAACACCAACTGGTCATTCTTTTAATGGTCTACGTCATGAAAAAGGAACTTTATGTGTATCATTAATGAGAAGTGGTGAAGCTATGGAAAAAGGCATTCGTGAATGTTGCAGGTCAATGAAACGTTTTGTTTTGTTTTGTTTTGCAAATAGATTAAGTCTACTGACTGTTTTCATATAAATTTCAAACATAATTTATGAAGGAACCTTATCTGATGCCAAATCACTTGTCTAATACGACAATGTTCATTTGATAAGTAATAGAAAAGTATAGAATGGTTTGATTTTCCGAGCATTTGTTCTTTAGTTATTGGAATTTTACTGAATTATTCAACAAAAACTTGTCATCATGGGAAAAATCAACTTTAAACTTTGTATGGACATAGAGTTTTCAATAAGATTAATTCATTGGATAAGTCATGAGTTTTCTAGTAATAGAAAAGCTAAAACTTGCAATACCAAGTAATCTCATTTGAAACTTTATATCTGTAATGTCCTTAGGACAATTATAACTTTTTATTGGAAAATCAGTAAGATTTTGATATTTCGAGAACAAACGCAAGAAAAACCGAACTATTTTAAACTTTTCTGTAGCTCATTAAATGAATATCCTGTCGGAAGAAAAACGACTGGACAACCGAAGACGTTCTTTTGTTAGATATAGTTGAATTATAAATATTTGTTATTCAGTCTTTACAATACGTCTGGTTGAGTGAAAACGTATATCAACTATATATGTAAAAAAATTCATTTTGAAGAGCTTGTTATTGTAAAAGAACGTATTTGATACACCTGTTGATTTGAGAGAAATAGTGTCCCGACTTTTTTTTACAACTACGTTTGTCAGCATAGATCTAAAAAAATTATGGACTCTTTTTAGAATAGAATGTACATCAAATATTGTAGATTAAGAGAAAGGAAGCAATCATTGACACACTCATTCTTCATGAGATACCATTCGTCTTTTTACCTCATTTTGATACTCGTTTGTTCAATTTATAAATCACATCATAAACGACGTTAATTAAAAATTATCCTAATAGCAAGCCGAACTAATTCAAAACTTAGTGAATTTTATTATGACTAGGCATGTGTTGAACCCAAACTTAATTAGACTTTTGGATGCTTTCCTAACGTCCCATATAACTCAAAAAACTCTTTGGAAATCAGTCAAATGTCTGAGGCCCTGTGAATGGGTTAGATTATTTCGAAACGCAAACTATTAGCCGAGTCAGAGTTCAGGTTCGGTGCATACCTAACTGTGAGGAACATAATATTTACACTCGCTTGAAATTCAGATTTTTACAAATTTACTTCAAGATAGGTTAATATCTAAAACAAGCATTATGTCTGATTACATTTTGCCTAATTAAAAATTCTTTCGTGATATGTTCAAATTTGTACTGTGGTTCATATGCAAGTAATCAAAAACGAAGCATAATTTTTTAATAAATATTATAAAGCTAAAAACACAAGAAAAAATTTCTCTAGTTATCGTGAAAGACGTTTCCTTACCGGTGGCATTTTATTCAGTAAGCTGAACGTGCACGACTGCATCACTATCCATAACTGCTTACTGGCGATGATCATCTTCGTGCCCATTTTTGATATCTATAATAAAGTTGTTCCAGATTGTCTATTTAGTCTATCTAGCTTCTTTTTTGTACGAATAACTAGATGGAAGTATTTCGTCATTTTAGGTCTATACGAATAGGTAAAATATTAATAAATGAAGGTCAAGTAATATATGCAAAATTACCAGCTGATACGCATCGAAGACGTATTCTTGTTACTTATCCAGTTATAACGACTGGTTCAACAGTTCTAACTGGTCTTGAAGTATTACTTACAGAATATCAATGTAAACAATCAAATATTATTCTAATAACATTATTTGCAACGCACGATGGTTTGAAACAAATTTATGAACGTTATCCAGATATAAAAATTGTTGTTTCAGAAATAAATGAAATAGCACCAAATCATTTCGGTCAAAAATATTTTGGTAAAAGCAACTTATTGAAATGTTTTATTTTTTACGTTTTTATTTTTTATTATTTTTAGGTACCGATTAATAATAAACGGTTTGGTTTCTATTTGATATCGTATTTTATATGAAATCATTTTTCTCTCATTCCTTCTTTCCATCATGTTAAGTAAATAATAAAATAAATAGTCTCTGTTTTAATTCAAATATGTATTAATTTTTATATGTTTCTATTCTTATTGCTCAATAAATTTATGAATATTTATTGTATGAAATAGAGTATTTTCTATTTTTTATTTCTTTCATGCTAGTTGTGTTCTTACATAACTTTTTACCACGGAAACAATGACTTCTCTGCTTCTTTATTTTCCACATCAATATTTTCAGATCAGATTTCATGATTAACTAAGTAGAAATATTATTATACAGTAGTGCTTAGTCAAAAAATATGTTTTGATCGTAATAAATGCTCTAATAACCAATGGAAGAAGCATTCTATTTGAATATGTTGGACAACTTATTGTTTAAAATTTTTTCTTCATGAGTCAAGAAGATCAACAATCATTTTACTAGATTAAAAAGTTAGTCCTCATTTATTCAAAAATTATTACGTAACAATGATACAATCAATTAAGTAACAAACATTTTCTATTGATAAATATTTGTTTTCTTTCTCGTTCAGTCTTAGCTTAACTAAAAAAAAAAAATTAATTTTTGAAAAATTACAAAGTTCAGTTGAAGACAAATTAAGATGAATTGAATCAAACTCGTTTGATTCGATCAAAACTCTATCGATGGACTATAGTCCTATCAATCAAAGTAGAAGTTAAATTTTGTCTTTTTTTTTTTTGAAAAGTTTTATGTATGTTGTTATTCATCTCCTATTTGATAGGTATTGTATCTATATATGATTGATGTAGGATTATGTGGTACAGCTCACCTAGAGCTTATACTATTGATATCGTTTCATTAACAATGAGTAGAAAAGAAATTTTAAAAAAATTGTTGGCATTGTCAACCATCAGATTGATTTGATTTTTATTTCTTCATGTTTCATTGAAAATGGATGAATATTTAACCAATAGAAACAGTATGTCATATACTAATATCCTACCATATGAAATCAATTGATTCCTTATTTTTGTTATAAAAGCTTGAAAAAGAAAATAATCAAGTAATAATGAAACGAAAGTTAGAGCTTGTGTTATTAAAGTCTTCTCCTCAAAAATACATTTAGTTATTCATAAAAGGACGAAGTTGGGAATTTTCATATGATTAGATAGAGCAGAAAAAACGCTACCAAATGGCATGAAAAGACATTGGAAGTCAGTGTGTTACATTTTCCGTTACTTTAACTTCCACTTTCCAAGTAATAGAAAGAGTCTTAGCCATTGAAAAACTTCCGACTAATTAACAGTAATGTTATTACAAATGCAAGAAAATAGATATACATATATGATTTTGATATGTAAAGCATATGATAAAGTACTATTGTTCACGTTCTTGCTCCATTTGTTCTTGTTCATGATAATCATCTTTCATTTTACCGATAAAACCGTCAAGGTCCAATGAAGTATCGCTAATAATATCATTTTGAAATGTAGATGAAGCAGTTACTGTTAATTTTTCTATTGTACCAGTTAAGTGATTATCTTCTACAATATATCTATTCATAATTGAATGACAATGATTGATTATTTTATTGCAAAGTTCTGCAATTACACCAACAGGTTTGCTACCGTCACCATATAAACCATGTAATGTATCTTCATGCAATTTTTGAATGGAACGACCAAGTGTAGTTGAATGAAATTTGGAAGACTTATTCTTATTTTAAAAAGTCTTTTCATGGCATTTGGTAGCACTGTTTTTGCTCTATCTAATCATATGAAAATTCCCAAATTCGTCCTTTTATGAATAACTACATGTATTCTTGAGGAGGAGACTTTAATAAGACAAGCTCTAACTTTCGTTTCATTATTACTTGATTATTTTCTTTTTCAATCTTTTATAACAAAAATAAGGAATCAATTGATTTCATGTGGTAGGATAATAATATATGATATACTGTTTCTATTGGTTAAACATTCATCCATTTTCAATGCAACATGAAGAAATAAAAATCAAATCAATCTGATGGTTGACAATGCCAACAATGTTTTTTAAATTTCTTTTCTACTCATTGTTAATGAAACGATATCAATATTATAAGCTCTAGGTGAGCTGTACTACATAATCCTACATCAATCATATATAGATACAATACCTATCAAATAGGAGATGAATAACAACATACATAAAATTTTTCAAAAAAAAAAAAAAACAAAATTTAAGTTCTACTTTTAATTGATATGACTATAGTTGCAAAATGTAGTGTACAAGATTATTTTGAAGATAGCTTGCAATATCAAAGAAATTAGAAAAGATTTTATATGATCTTTGTAATGGTATATTTTCAGTGAATTGTGATATACAACTAATGAGTTTATTTTTATGAAATAATCGAGAAAGAATATCATTAAGTACACGTTACAAGAATTTCTGCTCGGATTTAGAAGAACGCTATAATTTATACTGACTAGCACAGTCTCTTTATACTGAGCACTATGTCACTCTGCTCAGTGCTGCGAGCTGTAAACACTAATTAAAGAAATAAAGCTTCTTATAGAAGAGAATGAAATCAATTGAAGCCTGAATAGTAATTCCGAACTCCATTAAGCAATACTGAAAAATAAGGAAATAACTGCAAACTTTAGGAAATTTTTTTCTTATATAGGTTAAAGATTGTTTTGATTTTCTTAATCATCATTATGCTTACAAAAGAACTACTCGAAGTGAGATCAACCTTTTGAGCGTTAAATTATAATCGTTTTACCGAATTATTGACTTTTTTGGAAACCTAAATAATTGAGTTTCGATCAGAAATTTAACTGATAGACAGGTAATACAACCTTTAGAATATTTTGAAAATTTTGACCGAAAAAACATTTTTTTTTTTTGAGATGTCGAGCTTTCAAAAATACTCAATTTTCGTATAGAAATTCTGTATCTCAAGAAAAGAATATTCTCTTCAATTGAAACTTTCAGGATATTCTAAGAATGAATATACGTATAGGTGGGTATAGTTTCAACTCGAAATTCCAATTATCTGATTTTGAGAATCAGTAAAATGATCATAACTCGGCATGTGGTTAGTCTAGCTAAGGCTTTATGTAGACCCAATATAAGCTTGAATGACCAGTTTAAGTCTACGTTCTTCTCTTGCTAGCATTTGGCGTTTATTTTTGTGGTTATAATGATCTTTATGTAACATATAGCAGACACGAAACCAACTGGTAAAACTATCGGTCTCAAATCTCTACCGACCCTGAACTGATGAGTTGTGGTACTATTCCATCTGTAAATAGCGATATTTGACGTAATCAATTCTCAACAAAATTTCATTAAACATCCTCTATGAGATAATAAGATCAAAAAAAAATAAGACACACCGAAAATAACTGGTATTGGTTTTATCTCTGATAGATAGTTGATTTAATTGCATTTAAACTTTTTCGAAAATATTTTACAATGAAATGAGCATTGAACTCGAGAAATACTATGACTGGCAATGTCAATTAAAACTTCGAAAGTAATTTCAGATAGAAAACAGTCGACTTATCGAAGACTTTATTCTAATTGCATATGTCATATCGATTTGATTTATTTGTTTTTTTTTGAAAATTATCAATAAATATATGATTAAGGTTTTTTTATTTAATGTTAAATTTATAATCTAAATACGTATTGTTGTTTTTTCTTTTCATAATGATTCGTTGTACAATTGAACATTTGATAGTTGTTTTAGATCATGTATAATCCCAATCAATACATGAATCAAGCTAAACGACAAATGAGTGTTGATATGTCATGGGAAGAAGATACAAAAAAATTACGAAGTAGGATAAAAAGAAAACTTAATAGTATAATCAATTAAAAATTTTCTATTTCTATGGAATTAGCATGCAATGAAAATAAGTAAGTAACAAATCAAACATTATTAATTATATTTCATTATTATATCTGAATGAAATAGATTTATAAATTGTATTGAAAATTTATCTACTGAACTTTTCTATGAAATATTTGATTATCTCGATGGTCGTGATATATACTATGCATTCTCAAATTTAAATATACATTTTGAAAGTCTTATCATGAGTTCAACATTAGTATTAAAAATTCATGACTATGTTTCATATAAACAATCATATGAACATGATTATTTTCGAATAATTATACCTAATAAACATCGAATTATTTCACTTCATCTATCAAATGGATCACAATTTATAACATGTTCTAAATTTCATACTATCGATTCATCATTTTATCGACTCGAATCACTTATTCTTCATGGAATTAAATACAATGAAATAATATCATTACTTCCGAGTTTAACAAATTTACCTCGTCTCTCCTCATTAAATATTAGTCTTGATGATGTTTTAAATGATTCGAATGCAATCTATCGTTTAATATTTCGTTTACCGATGTTAAAATATAATAAACTTTCAGCAAAGAAAATTGTTTTACAAGATTCAGTCTCAATTACTTCTAAACAACAATTGACTTCTGTAGAACAATTAGTAATTGATCATCCTTGTACTCTTGAGAGCTTATATGATATTCTTTCGTGTACATCAAAACTTCATCGTCTAACATGTGGCCATTTATTTCCAATGAATCAAAATATTTCTAGAGAAATTCCATTAAAAATATTTAATTTAACATATTGTTCAATATCTCAATGTTATTTAAGATTTGATGAATTTGAAATATTTATTAAACAAATATCATCTCAACTTCGAATCCTACATTTTAAATCATATTCAGATGTATTTTATCTTGATGCTGATCGATGGCAACAACTGATATCACAATATATGCCTTATTTACATACATTTCAATTAGAATATCATGAGAGTGTTTCTGGTCGTTTTGAAATTAAATCATATCATTCATTTATTAATCGATTTATTTCACCATTTTGGATTGAAAGACAATGGTTATTGAATATTGAAATTGATTTGAATCATTGGCCACCTGCTGAAATTATAATTTCTATTCAGCCAAAAAGGTAACTTAAATAGAATTTTTTTTAATGAAAAAAGAAAACATTTGTTTTTGTTCTTGCAGAAAACGACGAAATGAAATAATAAATTATGAAAGAACTGATGTTAACTTAGGAAGTCAAGAATGTATGCATATTTTTAAGCCAATGTCTCAACTAATTGTGCGTGGTTGTCATTTTACACAATGTAATGATTGGTTTATCAATTATATTCGTTTTATCTCTTCTTTAGCAACAATAACTTGTTTAGATATTGAATTTAAATATTTTTCTATTGATATTCTTGTTCAATTTTTACATTTATTACCTAATCTTGATTCACTAACAATAGCTATTATGTTTTCAAATCAAAACATAAAATTAACTGAAGAACAGGTTAATATGATTCGTACAATATCCAGTATGAATCAAATAATCAAAATGAATATTGAACAAGTATTTGAACCAAATCAAATTGATATTCTTATTAATCTATGTCCTCAATTGGAATATTTAAATATACAATGCAAAAACTATATGAACTTAGAATTTATCATTCATGTTATTTTAATGAAAAGAAATGCTAATCTACATTTTCTATGTTTTTCCATTCCAGAAGCAGATGATCAAATGGTGAAAAAATTGCAAACAATGATTTATTTAAACAAATTAAGTGTTAATTATACAATTCAACGTTGTCGTAATAAAATTTATTTACAATGGCAAAAACATTGATCACATAAAAACCATTTATAAATATATATATAATTCTGATGATATTTTTAATGAAATAAAAACTATTTCAGAATGATATTTATTTGTCTTTCGAGAAAATTTAATTCTTTCCAATCAAAGTATCAATTATTGAAAAGGTTTTATGAAACTTTTGGGTAGCTTAATATTTATGATATGGCAACACATTAGAATTTGTAATAACAAATTTTTTCTATACCAAAATCTCTGTTAATCCTGACATAATGACTCAATGTCCGCGCAGACTTCAACCTATTCCATCACACTGACATAAGTACTCAATATTAGATGAAAGCGATCATCTTGTAGATAGACTCTAGTGAAGACTATCAGGCTATGCTGAAAACAACTGTCAGTTACACTCAAATATTTTTTATATGAGTGGCCCATCTGAAAGTGTTTATGATCATTTTCGGCTAACTGAGGTTCGTTCAAACTCCATTGAGATTCGTAACATTTAATCGAACCATATCCTGCTATATATGCATTGAAGACATTTTTTTGTACAGTTCATTGATAACATCAGTCAATCATACGCAATAGTTCTTGTAATCTTAGTAGCAGTTTATAGTATATTTGAAGAGTAATGCTTGATTTCAAATGCTTTGAAAATAGATAAGATCATGAAAAAAGCAGTTCGCATAACTCATGCAAGGTTTAAATGTACAATACGAATCAGCTATTATTACTTAATCATAGGGAGATTGTTTTATTCTGTCTGTTTTGGGACACAGTTCTTCATCATTCTTTTATTTAATCATCTAGAAACACAATAAGAAGTACATTATATATTATAACGAAACTGTACTCACAAATAGCGTTTGATCACACATCAATAATGTCTGTTACTGTTTGTGGAGAGAAGAGGATTGTAAATTTCTGCCCTATACTTCAACACTTCTTTTAAATCATGTCTGTACGGACCTCAGAAGAGCATTTTCTATTACTATAAACGAAAATATGATAAACGGTTATTGCCTCATTCACACTTTAAAATGAGAAAGAATTAAGATGAATGCGAAAAAATTCTAACAAAAATATGAGAAAAATTAATGAGTCCATTTCAACTACTATTGATCAACAATAACAAGTTAGGATGAAAAAAGGTAAGTGAAATACTTTGCTTTTGATTTCGATGAATTTGTTCGAATAGAAAAAAAGTAAAAGATAGAAATGTAAACGATAGTTAAATGAATTCTAATCTACTATTTTACACTTCAATATTTTCCTCTGATTTAGAAATCGATAGTAAACAGCATTAGATTTTTCTTCCGGAGTTTATTAGCAATGGAAAAAGACATTGAACAACATCAGAGATGAAACTCTTGAGGAAAATTATCTGACTGACATTCTCTAGTGAAGCTCATAAACAGAATTCATAGTATAGATTAAGATACTGCAAGGCATTTCATTGAACTTTCAGCCTATTGCAAGATATCACATGAAAAAACCCAATAAGGAGTTTCAGTCTGAAGTTCTCTCCAACAATAACAATCATAGGTTTTATGATATCTTGAAAGTTGCGGCTCAAGCAGATGTTTCTCTTCTGAGATAACGCGTTTGAAAAAAAACCTTGATTCGCGCACAAGAATTTCAAAAATAGTTCAGTTTTTTAGACATAGAGTATCTTAAGGAGATATCATTCATTTCAGCTGAGAGTTTCAGGATATCATAAGGGCCATGAGAATTATTTTTGAGAAAAACATCAGGTCGAAACTCCTTGTTGCGATTTTTCTCGTGACATCCCACAATCAGCTGAAATTTCGGTAAAATGACCATAATTCGAGAAGAAAGATCTAATGGCATGATTTCTTTCAAGATTTTTATCTACACTATGAGTTTTACCTATGAACTGAAACGTAGATTATATCAGTGCAATGGGTTCTCTTGTAAGACTACTCTAGAAAACTCGAAATAGTGCAGTTTCTAATCTTTGCGTAGATAGACTTATATTCCAGATATTAAGGGTACTGAATAGTGATGCATTTATTTGCCACAGTCATCATATGATCAACAGAAAAATCGCATGAACTAATCAAGTTATAACTTTGGGATATAAAAATCAAAACCAATGTTTCTGAGCTTATCGAAATATATTATAGTGCGTTGAGACATCTTGTAGGTACAATTGATATGTCTAACAGGTTTATTTACCTGTTAAATCAATGATTACAATAATAACGACAAACAAAACAGCTGAATATCAATAAAAGGAAAAAAAACTTGCTGTTCGAAATACAAAAATAAATAACACACATCGTTTTTTTCGGGTAATCGTTTATCTTTTTGAAAGTAACTATAATTCACTTCACTTATTTTGTATGGTGATGATTTAAATGCTAGATAATTTTAAATGAAAGCTGAGTAAAAAATTCAATTTTCGCTAAATAATTCGTTGACAATAATTCTAAGAAAATATTTTGCTAAGTTTTTTATTTTAATTCTAACTAAACAAGTTTGATTATCTAGGCGAAATATTGTAAATCTCTAGGTAAATATACAACTTTTGTTAAGTAAAGAAGAATAAATATCTAAGTAAAAAACTTAATAGTACAATTACTGTATTAATTGTTTTCTTTTTTCATCCAAAGGTATATCCTTTGCTGATGGAGGTGGTCTGCAAAACTTCAAGCTAATAGTCATACGAATAATGCCCATGCATCACCTGACAAAGTTACTTTCCATATTCGAATTTGAACATCGTTGAATTGATCAAACAATGTCCATTTTTTCTTTTTGCATCTCTAGATTTCATGTTTTCTAACATTTTCTGCTTCACTAGTCGGTATATAATAGTTAGTACAGTCTTTTCTTTTAGATGATATTTTTAATAATACTTCTGAGAATATTGCAAAATGATATGTATCAGTTCATTTTTTTTTAGGTGCAACAGTTGATTCTGTCGAAAATACAATTGGATCTGTTTGATTTTGATTGGGAGTTTGGGATCATTTATTGACAGTGCCATATTTATAGATACATATGGTATACAAAAACGGGACGGGAGGGCGAGAACTCACTAGAATGTAGCAGACATGAAAGATCTCTCGAGAAAACGGTACAATCATATATAATAGAAATAATAAGAAAGAAAAAATGATGGTACGGACATATACTCAAAGAAGACGTTCATCTAATCACGTATCACATCAGATGGAAAGAAAATACAGCTGGAATATTCGTAAATCACGATATTAATTTAATGTTGATAGAAGGAAAGCAACAGAGAAAATGTATACGTTATGCCAGCATAAAAATTTTTTCTTGCTTCAGATTATTGTACTTTATCTTTATTTGAAATTAGTAGAAACAATTTTGACCTAGCGATTTGATTTTTTTGGTATAATTTCGATTTATTAACTCAACAAAAAAAAAGTTTTTACTTAGTTATTAATTATCAAGTTTAGCAAATTTTTGTTTTTTTACTGAGAAACTATTAATTAACTGAACATTCAATATTTTTGCTTAGCAAAAGATTTGTAGCCATTTTGTATTAGTTTAACGAGATTAAAGATAACATATTACGTCTTCGTTTTAGCTCTTCAGGAGCAGCACTGACAAGCTGTTTTCACTCGGTATTCAAAAATAATATTGAATCATTCATTTCACCTTCTCCTTGAATGTATTCATCCTTACACGATTGCCAAATTTATTTCTATTTTTTTATATATTTTTATCTTGATACGTAATTACAAAGTGTACTTACAAAGAAAAAAATATGTCTCAATGTATAGACACTCTTCAAAATCATTTGCAAAATTTGTTACTTAGAACGTGTCTATTGTAAAGGTAAATATTGATGAAATTATTTTATCAGTTAATTTATATCTATCACATATAAAATGCAAGTTCATATAGAAGACAGATCGAGAACTATGGTCATTATAAAGAAAAATGAATCGACGCAAGAGGAAAGGGATATAATAATCTGATAGTGAATCTGGTTAGCATAATTCAATTATTTAATGCACTGAAATGAAGTAATTTTATTCATAATTCAAAAACCTTTTCGATCATATAGAAAACACTAAAATTGAATCTCTACTTATTTCTATATCTTTAAGCATTAGTTTTTGATGGGAAAACATAAATTAAAATATTTATTTGAATTATGTTTTGATATATTAACATTTTATAGAAATATCGTTTACAAAAATTGAAGATTTACCTAAAGAAATTTTTCTCGAAATTTTTGACTATATTGAATATAATTATTTATGCGATGCATTTTCAAATTTGAATAATCGGCTTCAAAATCTTCTCAAGTATCTATCTCTTCGATTAAAACTTAAAATTGGTCATCAACCGGAATTTGCAGTTCAAAACTGTTATACAAAATTTATTATTTCAAATAAACATCGAATAGTTTCTCTTTATTTACATGATCATTTGGATATCATTAGTCAGTCATCATCAAATAAGATTGATTCATCATTTAGTCGTATTGAATCACTTATTCTCGATCAAGTTCCATGCAAAGAATGGATTTTGATTTTTCCTATTTTGACATCTCTACCTCGTCTGTTTTCGATAACTATTAACCTTATTGGTATTTCAATTGATCTTACTGAAATATATCGTCTGATATTTCTTTTACCATATTTGAAAAAAGTTGAACTTTCAACAAGAAGAAATTCATTAATTATATCATTACCAATTAATACATATGAACAGTATAGTCATATTAAACATTCAATCATTAAACATGTTTGTCATCTTAAAGAACTCATTGCTTTACTTTCCTATACACCTCTACTTACTCATTTGACTTGTCTTGAATTATCCAAACAGTATCAAGATATTCAAAGAATAGAATCAATCATGATACCGAATTTAACTAGGATGACATTAAATATGTGTTGCATACAATTCGATGAATTTGAAGTTTTTATCGAAAAAATATGTAAGCAACTTCGAATTTTAAATATCGATAAAATTCAAGATGTAGATTATCTCAATGCTATTCGATGGGAACAATTTATTTCAAAACATATGCTTTATTTACGTATATTTAAATTAGAATATGACGAATATCATTATCAACCTCTGGAATTAACTTCATATCATAGTCAACTTAATCAATTTACTTCATCATTTTCGATTAATCGAGGATGGTTCTTTCAAATAGCAGCTGATATAGATTATTGACCATCTATTAAATTAAACTATTCCATTTGTACAAATATGTATGTTAAGGAAAGAAATTTTCATATGAATAAATATTTTTTTTTGTTTTCTTTAAAGACAAAATATTATTCAGCACATGAACAAATTATTCCTATAACATTAAAACTTATTCATCTATATTTTGCTTTATCTCTGCAAGACTTGGTTGATACAACTTTACATTTTTTTAAAAATATTCATATTACTCGTGTAGATATTGATGGTAAGAAATTGCCTTATACTAAATTTATTGAACTTTTGAACATGTTACCGAATCTTAATTCATTTGAAATTTTATCTTTATCTTCATTCAATGTGGATCATTTATTTAAGCAACGAATATTCTATTCTGGTCAAGAACTAATCAAATTAAAAGATTAATACTTGAAAGTTTTATTGATGAAAATGATTTCGAAAAAATTCAATTTTTTATTAATCACACATTTCAAATCGAGTATTTACAAGTGAAATATGAAAGTAATTACAATATTGAATCAGTTGTACAATGTATTTTACTAAAGACAATTAATAAATTTCTTAAATTCAATTTAATCTATTTATGTGTTAACATAGCAAACAATATTATGATCAAACAATTACAAAATATGATTAATCGTGAAAAATTTCTTCATGACTATAGAATTACACGTTCAACTAATAGAATATATCTAGAATGGCAATTAAAATGATTCATGACTGTATTTAGTTTTAAAAAAACTTTTGCTAATTATAACAAATTGCTTTTATTAATGTTGCCTTTTACTTGTACTATTTTACTGACTTTTGAAGGCAACATTTTCAATTTATGTGTATTCTAAGATCACTTTTATACTGCTAAAAAGTATTTTCGATGAGTTAGGATCAGAATTTTGTGCTGTTTCCGAATGTGGACTTAGAAGTTTTGTCTCGAGAGTTGTGAAAAATTTTGCATTTTTACTATTGCAATTTGAGACTAAAACTTAGATTTTTCAATTTATAATTTTCGTTTTTCATAAATATTCATTTTTGAAGAATAGACGACCATTTTATGTTGAAACGAGCTCTTGAGAAAATGCTTGGGTAAAAGCCACAGCTTCATTCAATAGAATATTTTGTAGAGGCATCCGCTCAACTTAATGACTGACTTCGATAACTTTTAATATGTTCTAAAAGAGACTTATGTAGTGAAAAAAAATCTATTGACTTATGATTTTCAAGTCGTTCAAAAAAATCTCTCACTACTCTTGAACCAAAAAGGCACCGAATTGTGGTTTCCACCTATTGTTCTTGGCTTGTCTGAAGTGCTTTGAAGTAGGCTAAAATGAACAAACATGTTCATTGGAAAGATCGACGCACAACCTCTGTTCAAACTAATTTTCTGAGTTTTGTAAAAATTATGTCGCTACTCTGAGACATAAGTTTCAAGTCCATATTCGAAAGCAGCATAAAAATGCGCGCCTAAACTGTTGAAAATAATTACTAGCGAGTCAAAAGTGCACAAATATGTTGTCTGAAAACTTTTCGATCACTCGTTACATAGTTTAAGTGTGGATCGGATTTTAGTGACCATCAAAAGAAAACAAAACGACCTATTAATGTTTTGTTTTATAGTTGTATCGATCAAGTATTTTACCATTATCTAACCCTGAATAATCACGATTATCCTGGTTGAATAAATAATCGTACTTCTGAGAGGTATCTTATTGAATCAGGTAAACTATAGATTATAAGGAACACCTTTAGGAATTCGTGCTTGTGAATTTTGTTTTTGGAGTGTTGGTTACTTTAGTGCATTGACTTATAAAAGGACATATTGATTCTTTCATCACCTTCTAGATTGAGTTTCAAATTTTTAGTTCGATGTTAATGTCCATAAAGTTCACAATAAGCTTAGTTTATTTTCAAAACATTAGACTTACACCAATATTGAAAATTTTGTTCAGTGACTCAGCATATTCTATAAATTTGCGTTTTTATATCAAGAAAGTCTGATACTTTCACACTGAACGAGTTTAATTCAAAGTTTTATACATGCAAACTTCGAGCTCGAAATTCAAAAGACAATTTTAAAGGTGATCTAAGGAAGACTACGGTATTAATAAACTAACCACAACTAAAAATACAAAAGACTTATGAACACAAATCCGTTTAGGATTTGTCTAGTTTCAAAAGGATCTACTTCATGACGTAGGGATCACCTCAAGATGAATTCATATACATTGCAGGGGCCTTATTCGAACAACTCATTCGCCAGGATCCTGACAGATATTGCTATCTATCGATTTAGCAGTTAGTAAGGCTGCTCTGTAAATAATATTCGACACGTTTTACCGTTACATACATAAAGCATATACAGTCATTGAGCAACTGATTATTGAATTTAGCACTTCAATAGAAACAAGAGTAACAATGAACATCATAGTTTGATTTCTTCTATATATCCGATTACTGGATAAAAAAAAGTATTGACTGACCTCGACGTGACTTGAACACGCAACCTTCTGATCTGGAGTC